GCGGTCAGTTTGTAAATAGTAGATTTGTGTTGTCAGTATAGAAGATTGTAAATAAATAGTTTAGGAAAGTTTTGAACAAGTAAACCAACCTAGTCACAGCTAGAAAAAATATTGATCTTGTTTTGATGTTGACATAATAAGTTTCTTTATGTATAATGTGATTTTGATTAAATCAAAATCACATTAATAGTAATATTTTCTAAATCTTCAACATCTGTTTCCTTTAAAGGTTTCGGACAAGCAGATTTCAGATCAATAACTTCACCATCTGAGAATGTGTTCGTTAGTATGCCATATTGACATGCTAATCGAAAGATTACAGAATTATTTTGGGATATTTTTTCAACAATCAAACATGGCAAAAGCTTAGCATCTGTATTTGTACGGTCTGCTTCATGTATTTCATTCTTGTTTGCAATTTTTTAATTTCAATTGCGTTCCTTGTACCCAAACCGAGTGCAGCTCCTGCTGTGAGGAGAGAAATACCGTCTAAAATAAATCGTTTTTCTTGATGCTGTTGCCGACATTGAGGAATGATAGCAGCTGCATTAGCAGGTACCATATAACATCCGTGATGAGTAATTGGAATCATAACACTAACATTCACTATATCATCGGCCGGTGAAAATTCTCCTTTATAAATAAGAAACGCTGCTGATTTTGGATAGCTGATAACCGTCAAATTTGGTAGATCTATTACACAAACAACGATAATTAATTTGATTAAAAGGAAAATGAGTGTACTTCGACGAATCATGTTTCTCCGACGTAATAAATCTTGTATTAAACTATTGGAACAAAATGTATCTGCAAGTGAAAGAATGATTATTTATCATTAATATTAGAAAAACTGTAATACTTTGCGAAGCATGATGTCGTATATATACTTTCCACAAAAGTCACAGAATCTTAGAAATATTTAATTAGACTATATATTCTCTGGCATATTTGAAACAAATAAATTCATAAAAGAAATTTTTTTCTTTTTCTCACGTTAGAGAAAAGATAATTTAGTGAAAAGTTTCCCTCTTTAATACAGATAAAATTTAGATTAGCTCAGCAAAAAGTTTGATTACGATCATATAAGTGATGCCACTGGCCATCATGTCGAAAAAAATTGTTGTACGACAATTAACACTTTCTTTTATTACGTGATAAAGCCAATAACAATGGTGTAACAACATTAAAAGCATCACTTAACACATGCGCTTGCTATATATCAAGAGCAGATTATACTATAAATTTTTCATAAATAGAAGGCATCGGATCAGATTGTTAATAGATCAGATATGAGAAAGAAACTTGTTCATAGACAAAACACCTTCTAACTAACATCGTTCATGCATGAAGGAAACCGCAAAGCAATGTAAAGTAAGACGAAAGAAAGCCCGTAGCACTGCTCTGTGTTTGATACTTGAACAGACATCGAAGTATAAAATCTACGATAAAATAATACCGTACCACGAACGAAAGTCTACTTTCCTCGTACTATTATATTATACTCTGTAATGGATCTCAGATTACGCGCTAGATACACATCAACGGGAATAGCTAATGGATAGGCATTATTTGATTTTACAGCAGCAAAGATCATTTTTTTGTCTATTTACTTAAATATCGGCGTTTCGACAATTCAAGATAACAATAAATTTTTTCTGAATTAATTCTGACAAAATTTATT